TTCAGCTGCTTGCGGGTTAAGTCTGCGTTTTGGCACCTCGTTTCCCCTCCCCAGCTGCTGGCGCAGGAACTTCCCTGCAGAGATGGAGCAGGGCAGGGGAGTCCCATCGCGGGAAAGGCTCCGTGCCCCCACGCGTGGCTGTGATCGAACCACAGGCTGAGGCAGGGCGACTACAACCACAGCCACGTCGCGTAGTGCTTCTATCAGCCTTTCATTTTACTGTAAACCTCAGCAAAATCTGACCAGATTGGTCACCTGGATTGTCTCTAATTACCCCTGGTAGCCACACGATGGGAGCGCTGTCATGTGGGGAAGCCTCCGAGCGATCGTTTCCTGCATCTCTTCTCCATTACCCAAACTCTGGAAGCCTCATTCTCTGTCCGGAGCCCCTTCTTCGCAGCCAGCTGACTGATTGTTGCACCGGGCAAAGCCGAGGCGCAGACGTGCAGTGAGTGTTGCACGCCCACACTCACAGGCACGACCCTGCGAGGCCACCGAGGCGTTGCGGGAGGAAGCTGTACCAGCCCCGAGCCGCTTCTCCTGGGGACGCAGGGATCGCCTGGAAGTCACTCTGCCTTCCCCACGGGAACACTGACGGACACGTCCGTGCCGGAGCTTGACTCAGGAAGCCTGGGACCTCGTGTGAACGGGAACTTGCCACAAAGATCCAACAGTTAACGGAAAAAAGAGAAAACCATGGACTTTGCTATTAATTTATCTTGCATTTTCATATATTTATGGGCCTCAGGAAGGTAAAGCAAGCCTAGGACGTTAATTAAAGGGTGTTTCTTCACAGAGCGCACAGACAGAGGACACTCGGGCACGAGGCTGAGACACTCGCACATGGTCAGCACGCTCTGCCGCCGGGACACAGCTGATGCACCCTCCTTGCTCCAGAGGAGCTCCGCTGCTCTACAGCAGACATACTCAACCGGATAAATTGCAAAAATAACACACGCACCTGATACTTTGAGCATGACTTGTGTCAGTTTGAATTGAAAAAAAAAACCAAACCCAAACCCCACACCAAAAAGTTGATTGGTGTTTACACACAAGGGATTATAAAAAAAAAAAAAATTATATACAATTCTTTTGCAAGGAAACCAGCTAATAACTATTTGCAGGAGAAACTCTGTATTGTGCAAGGTCGTGGTAACTCTCACCATAGTATTTTCTCAGCGATACACGTGATAAGGATGACTCCTAATACAACCCATTGGACAAAGGAGATACCTAAAATGAAAATACACGTAACTTTACTGACCTACTGTTGGGAAACAGATGCTGAGTTGATGCAAACCGACTAATTGGAGCAGTGAATGGACTCAGGCGTTAACAGGACCAGGCTGGGTGAGCGTAACGACCCTACCAGTACTCGCCCTGTGAAATGGTTTTATGTAATGAGTAATAAGTATCACCACTAAAACGGCCTTGTAAATGTTCTGCATTCAAGGAGATTTTAAAAAGGTTCGTTAATCCAACTGCTACCAGGTTTGGCTTATCGTATGTATTTTTGCAACACATTTGTTTCTCTTTCCTTCCAATTAAAGCTATGCCATCTTTTGAACACGAGGCAATGAAAACAACAGTAGGCACTATGAAAACTTACTTCATCGTGTAAAAAAAGGGCAGCAAGTCCCACGGCCCCTCCAGACGCGGTCTGGGGACGCGGAGGCACTACAACCTTGTGCTGGCATGGGCTGCGCTCGAGCTTTTGGCCGAATTATGTTTTCTGGCCCTTTCAGGTGCTTCCTACCACCCTCTGCTTCAGGATCTCGGGGCCATCCCCTCCGCCGTCACAAGCGTCTTAAAAGAGGAGAGTGCACCAGCCCGGAGAAGAGGTCGTGGTAATCCAGCCCGTGAATCATTTCCACTAACGAAGCCACCGAAAATGAGTCAGTCCTTGGCTTTGTGTGGCCAAACACAAGGCGATGAATTCATTGCAGCATTTTTCTTGTGAGAAAGGACTTTGGCAGTAAAGCAGAAAGGTTTACAGAAATCATTAGTGAACCTAGAAATATTTATCAGCTTCTTGGAAATATAATTGTGTATCGGGTAGAGCAAGAGGAGAGGAGGAAAAAGCCTTTTTAAAGTAAGTGGGAGGTCTCCCATTTAGTGGTTTTACTCCTCAGCTTAATCCCCTATTTCACATGGATGCCACGGACAATTAGCACCAATCTTTTCACTGGAGGCCGAGCTCCCACCGGAGCGGGCGGAAGAACGCGGACAATGGACAGATCCCATTCGTTTCCTCCGCGGCGGTCCTACCTTCGCTGTGGGCAGATTTGATTTCCTCCAGCACGTGCTGTTCTCCCTTTATCTGATCCTTCTCCCCTCGGGTTGCTTTTCCTTCTTTCATGGCAACTGGAAATAAGATCTCAAGATGCGCTTCCTGCAATACCTGGAAAAATAACCTTGGAGCAACTTTCAAATGACTGCAAAACATTTTAAAAAATCGATTGTACAAACAGTTCTGGTATTTGGGCAAAAAAGAAGCAACTCCTCTGTAACACAGCCGAGCTTTTCTGCATAAGACTGTTGCTAATGCAAAATAGCTTAACCATTTGGAGACTTCCCATGGAATAACCTGTGCCAGCAGCCAGGACATCCCGGCCGGCAGCTCCCCCTCCTCACACACGCCAACCTCTGCCTTCATCAGGAACAACCGGCACGTTTGCAGGAGTCTGCTCACCCCGGCGTCCAGCGCAAGGACGGCTGCAGCCCCAGTGCCGCAGGAAGGTCCCTCTTCCAGGCACGGTTGGCTAAGACTAGAGAGCTTGATACTTCTTGCATAGAAACGGTGAGATTTATTAGAGTGATTTACTACAGAATCTCAATCTCTATTCGCATTTCTCGTTATCCCCTCCCACGGCCGCTGGAGAGGTGCTGGGTTGGTGGGGTCGCTCCCTCCCTCAGCGGCTGCATCCCAGCATTTCAATGCACTAATCACAGCCCGACCCCAGCACGACTCAGATGGTCACAGACCAAGAAATCCCGGGGGGATTTATCAACACGTAAGCAAATCTACAACGGGGGAGCGAGGGGGAGCAGCGCTGTGACGCTGAAGGTTCAGAGATGCCAGAAAAGGTGTGATGCAAACCCTCCCCTCCGAGCAAGCCTTGGGAAAACCACATTGCTGGGTCTTCTGCAAAGGTCACCGAGGGAGGCAGCACGGTCTAAACTGGCGTTGGAAATCACAAGTACTGGCCCTGGCAACACGGCCGCCTCTCCGGAGAAGGACGGAAGCAGCATGCTGCTTTCCACCCTCAGGAGATGAAACCCATTTCAGGGAGATTAAGTCTGAGTCCTGTCTGAACCTGCTCAGAGAGTTACAGTGCTGGAAGGAGGAACCAACCTGGCTGACACGCTGCAGGCAGGAAGGCCAGAGGTATTTATTTGGTCACTGCAGATCACCGCAGACCTGCCACTTAGGTGGTATAAAGTGGCTGAGCTGTCACAGACCCAAAATAATTATTTGAGCTTGGAGTCGGTGTCACCCACCCGCTGTCGGCAGCTCGTCCCTCCCCTGCGCTCCCAGACCCGCTGCCTGCAGAGGAACGATTGAGCAGTAGGTGTCTGCAGCTTCAGGCCACCGAACGAAGAGAAACAGGATCTCTGAATATACAAGACCAAATAAGGCCCAGATGCCAAGAGAGTAAACACAAGGCTGATCTACCAAGTTTGGGCAAATGTGAATCAGAGTTCCCTAACGCTACAGATTTTGCCTTGCAGGATAAACTTCATCATTCTCGCTGCGTCCACTTACTCTTGTTTAAAAGGGAAGTTTCTGTCTAAGTTCCATCTATCTTCGTCAGCCCCACTGCTTGTTTGTGAGGACTATACATTCGGGAAGATCGGCCAAACCAAAACCACGAGCAAACCGTTTCGCGAGGCACGTCAGTTATGTACGTGAGGCTAAGAAAAACCCAGCACGCCCCCCAAAACTGGCTGGCACTACAGTCTGTCTTGGGCTCCAAAACCTGGTTACAAAAAGGGAGACAGACACCTTGGAGACTTGTGTTACACCTTCTATGGAAAAGTCATGAAATTCCCACAGCTAATCTACATTTGTAATCAATAACGCAGTGCAATAAAGCAGCAAAACTAAAATAAACACTGTTCTACAGCAAAAATTGCTACATAAGTGACATTTATTAATGTTCTGCTGTATTTACAGTTTTAACATAGTAAAACTCCAAAGTGAATTACCACTTGGCAGAAAGCACAAAAGTGCACATTAAATCTACATTTATAACGCATCATAGTCTCTGCTAACACAAATTATAAAAGCAAGAATTACAGGTATATGTCAGGAAATGTCCCAAAAGTCCCAAGCCAAAGGGGGGGGGGGGGGGGAAAGAAAAAAAAAAAAAAAAAGCCTTTGTTTTGCAAGGTAATTTTTTATACAAAGTTGCAAGGTGATCTTTCATTTTTACACTACCACTGTGTACCGCGTAAATCCCTATATAGTCCAAAAAGTAGGTAGTATGAAAGTAAAGTATACTACAACATTGAGAATACAGACTATTAAAAAGAAATTAATACTTGTGCCACTTTTAACACAATACTCTCTCCCAATCACACCTCGAGAACCTGCACCGCACCGACCCCTTTCTCCGTTCAGCTGCAGGATGGGAGCAGCAGGGTGTGCGACACGGCAATGCCGTCACTGCCGTCACTCCGACTTTTGAGTCATCCCTTCGGGCCGCCGGCTTTTCGCAGGCTGTGCAGGACAGACCAGAGCCCAAACCCGCTCCCAGGACGGAGGAGGAAATAAAGCAAGCCTGTCCCCTGCTGGCTCCAGGGGCAGGGCTCATGCTACCGAAATCACTACAGAAACTATCGATATAAGGCTTTATTAGCACGTCACAGACTCGACTGCAATAGCTTTTTCAAACATTAGCCACTAATGATTCAATGATTACAGAATTCTGCATTAATTATTAAAATTTTACACCTAGAAACAAATAGAAAGAAATGCCTTTTTTTTTTTTTATTTCCAACAGTACTTTTATTTATTTCCTTATTTTAAAGCAGGTGATTCTTTTTTCTTCTGCTCCAGAGTCTTGATTCACTTCCTGCAGGTGTCCTGCTGCTTCTTGAGGGAGAATTCACTAACGCAGGAAGACATTTGCCAGAAAACATCTGTCGGAGAAGGATATTGAATATTGAAACTATAGTTAGATTGTTATTTTGGATTACAGAAGGATGTAGCTCACAAAGAGAGCAGGATGTCTAAAGGCTTGTGAAGTATCTCGGTACACAATGACGTGACTCTAGCAAAACGCTCAGTAGTTTTGTGCATGTTTTACAGCTCCGAAGAGTTAAAATTCCTTAGGGGGAAACAGACACCAAGTCAGACAATGCTCCTAGGAACACTGGCGTAAAAACATAAGGTGTACGAAATCACACTGCACCTGCACTACGAGAACAAAAAGTGACTCAGTCTTTAGCTGCTGCGCCCGCCCAGGACGACTGTGAGTTTTGTCTCTTGACATCAAGCGGCTCGCCCTCACAAGCTGCCTGTTCCAGCCGTGCTGGACAGAGCTGTGTCAACCTGAGATCCAACCGAAACACCGGCACTCCTCGTACAGTCGTTACTTGTCGTACAGTCGTTACTTGTCGTGCTTGTGGATGTGCTCTCCTAAGATGCTACCACGGGTAATGCCCTTTACTAGCGCACGCAGATTGAACAGTAAACACCAAGCTTTCGATTAGATCCGTTTTCACCAGCTATTATTTTCTGATTTGCACTAATTATTCCTCTCTTCCTCCCCTCCTAATTTCCTAAAAATTATCCCTGCTCTAAAACGAAAATAAACATTCACCATGCCCTTTTCATTATGCCCTGCAGAGGAAATCTAATCTTAAGAACAATAATAGACTGAAAATCCAAGTCTTTTGTGGTTTCCCTGCTCGGAATTTAGGATTAAAGATTTATTTTCAGGGGAAGTGTCAAAGTTGTAATATTTAGAAATTATTCTGGACATTTATCTCAATATATCTAAAAGAGAAAGGGCTTTCTGAAAGCTCCAAAATGACCAAAAAATAAACAAACAAATAAATTAAAATTTAAAAACAACTCTACACCTCCATCCTCACAAGCAAGGAGTCAAGCGAGGTTTCTAAAATTTTAATTTCAAATTCCGAACATAGGAAAAGCCTGTGCAACAAGAAACCACACAGTTCCTTTAATAAATGAAAAAATTAAGTTTCAGTAAAGAAGTAAAATTAAAAAAAAAAAAACCCACGTTCAGTGAGAACAAACTACTGATGATGAAGCTGACGCTTAAACGCTCGCACTACGTGACCATACAAGTGGGGGAAATAAACCCTCTGGTGACTAAAAAAAAAAATACTGGAGGAGGTCATAAACCATAACTTTGTTAAACACAACTGAAACACTTAAATAAATTGACAACTATTTTTACACACTATCACCAGTGGAAAACTCAAGCTGGAAAACACTCCACAATGACTGTTTTGTGTAGCACGTTCTCATTACAGACTAGAAATGAAGCAGAATCTTACACAATTTGCTGTTTCTAATAAAAGGAAAGCACATTTGGAAAATCGAGCCTCAGTTTTAAAATCTGCACAATTTAACAACCCCCAATTTCAAGCTGGGGTTTGTTTGGTTTCTTTATACCACTGTCCCAGCTGCACTTGCCCCAACCCTGTCTTGGGGAAATCTAGTGTTATTATGGTATTTCTAAAGGGAGCATCACATTGCACTCACCATCTGGGAAGCAACCTATTACAGGATTTCCTTCCCCTCGGGGAGGGACAGTTAATGCAAGGCCATTATCTGCCTAAGCAGGAAATCATGCCAGAAGGGTTCAACTACTTAAGCCTCCTTCTTGAAAGTGCCATTAAGAAGGCAGCAGTGTTAAGGTTCAGCCTTAAAGGGAGAGACTTTTAGGCATTAAGGTTTTGGAAAGATGTTCAGGCAGTGTGCTCAAGTATGTGGGAGGAGTTTTCAAAGAGCAAAGGTGTGCAAGAGTTTAATTTCTTCAGGAACTTGGCAGAAAATTCAAACAGCATGCAAAATTCAGACAAATTGTTCTTTCTGGGACGTAAGCCAAAGATACCGGCACCGTCTTCTAACAACGTTTTGTAACCTTTACTCATGTTTCGGACATGTGATTTATTCTGAAAGACACACTTGCCAAATGCAGTGCAATACCAAGGGGCAGAGATTTTGTTCTTACAATTCAAGTAATGGAATCTAATGAATATACAATTCCTCAAAGCAAAAACTCAGGAAGAAATGTCAAGTATTCCTCCGCTCCCCACCAAGTCGGTCTGGACTCTGTAGAAACAGGAACTGCGTATGAGATACCAAGAAATGACTGTTTTCTGCTGCCTCATGTTCTAAAAATATTCAAGCAAAGATAAGTCTAGCCTAAAAGGGTCATTAAATAGAGTTAAAAACAAAACAGAACAAATTCAGGAAAGCAGAAAGTTTACCTTTAGTAAATAAAGAGAACTCTGGTTCTGGGGAGAGTGGAAAAAGTATCTGGCATCTTCCTAACCTTTGCATAATTAATAAATCCTCTGAGAAAGAGCAGAAAACCTAGATGGAAGAAACATATTTCTCCAGTTAACACAAGTGTTGCTTCTTCAATCACAGATGGAGCAGTTCAACTCACTGTTACTTGTACAGAGGGACCTAAGTCACTGGGATGCACAACAGCTGATTAAATACAAGATTATTTTTTTCCCATCAATGACATCTAATCTTTCAATTTCAGGCAATCTCAAAACCAAACTTTCCTTAGGCAATCACAAAACTTTTGACTCCAAACGAGATCCAGTCACTTCCAAAGGAGGAAAAAGAAAAGAAAAAAAGAAGGACCACCACCCACTCTTCCACTTAAGACAGAAGAACAGATACAACATCAGTTACTATGAAGACCAGCATTGTTCTCTTGTGTACTTCTTCTGGATGATCAATAGGATGCTGCCCCCAAGAAATGACAACACGAGGACAGCGTTTATGTGTACCTTTAAAACCTAGCAGGCATTCAGGAAGAGGAGGAGTACTACGAGGGTTACATTTCTGTTTCACATCTATTCACACATATTTTAATAGCCAGTAAAGCTATGCTCACAAAATCCCTAAATGCACTTTACAGAGATTTTAAGCATGCATTCCCTCTTCCCCCCCCCACCAGAAACACTCACCTAGTACAAGGAAGACCCACCAAAGCCAATACTGGCCATCAAAGTAACCAGGAAAATAGGTGGAGAACTAAAAAAAAAAAAAATTAAAAAAAGATACAAGTTAGAGCACGTGGAAGTTTCTGAACCCAAATCCATTCTTACCAATTTCAGCAGTAACCAGATCAAGCTCGCTGCATACAAGAGAGGTTATAGAATGCCACATTTCCTCAACTGCACAGACTGCAGGGAACAAGCTACCGCCACAAACTTTTATTTAAGGTTTTTCTACACGCATCAGACTAACTCTAACCAAGGGGAATGGAACAGATTCAATAACCAGCCATAAACTCTTGCAATCAGTGGAGCAGAAAGACACTACTGGGCAAATATTCCATTTTCCACAGCTGTAGTTTCTGGAAGGGAAGACCAGGTTCGCAGCAGTGCATCACGTTAATTATACTGTAAGGCTGGATAGTATAGCAAACAAATGTACAGTTGAAAAAGAAATCCCAGATCTGTGGAGCCCTCTAACAAGATTTTCTCTTGGGAAAATTACTGCCTATTGAATGAAAGGCACCGATGCCATTAGAGCACTGAAGTTCACCATGTCAGTGGTAAATACAGTGTAATTTTTTTGTTTTCATTCTAGTCAAGTTTAAACACCTAACAAAAGGTAAGCTTGCTATCAGAGTTTAAATCAAAATCACAGTTAAGGTCACCTGTTTCTATTATACCACTTAATCCAGCAAATAGTTCTTAACACCACTGTTACAAGATGACCCCAAAAGTCTTAACTTTCAACAGAAAAAGTTAACAGATACTGTATTTACAAATTACAGTTCCTAGCCCAAAGAGATTAGGTATGAAGTGACAGCCCTAACACTAACGCTCTCCACTTCTACTTATGCACAGCTAATGAGATTTTTTGCTTGAAATTCAAACTTTGGCCTGGGATGTCTGCAGGCCATTTTCATGGACACCACCTTTTCATGGGCTCCAAATAAAGCTTTTCTGGTATTTTCTCACAGTCCCTCCAAAAAACAGTTAAATAGTTTGACCTTTTTTTTTTCCCCATTCCTGCCAGCATCAGCACATCTATATCCTTTTTTTTTTTTCTTCTCCAGAAAGATTTCTCTTTCTTCCCCCCCCCTCCAAGTTTTAAAAATACTAGGTCAGCCTTTCTTGCTTCCGCAGGCAGACCTTCGTATCCAGGTTCCCATAACACAAACCAGTTCTGATCAATCATCCCCTTCCTCTCCCTGTGCGATCTGGTGGAGGGGAGCACGGTGGATGTTTTAACAGTCTGGATATACCCAGAGTTTATATGGAAATAAAACAAAACGGAAAAGCACGCTTCCTCCTGATCCCCTCCTGCCTGTGCCGCAGGCATGTCGCACCAGAGGGCACCAGCGGGCTTCTCCCATCCGTGTGACAAAGCGGTGGCTGCCTCTTCTTCCTCCAGCGAAAAGCAAACCTCACACCTCCTAATTTTTATGTCCCTATTTGCATCTCCTCATCGGCTATCCCACATTTGAAATAATTTTATTTTTTTTTCAGAGGAGCACCTAAGGAACATCATACTGGACAGAAACATCCCTGTGCTGTATCTGTATTAATGTTTTACAAAGATCAGATCATTGTTACTGCTCAACACACAAACACACTTTGATCCAGTACAGTGGCTCTGTCAGAGGAAGCCATACTTGGATATACAATCTTTATTCTCTTTTGTTACAATAATAATTCCAACATATAAACAGGACAGAATGATGAAAAACTGTTCTCAGAGAATAAGGGGCTTAAAATCTCTTTTGTTATAAAAAGCTAAATTTATAACTAACTTCAGTGTGAGATAAAAACGAGCTACAGAAAAAGAGTACCATTGTCTATGTACGTGGGTTTGCACTACACAACTTACCCTGACAATAAGGATCCACTTAATAAGAGACAGACCAAAGCCAGAAATGGCCCCATATCGTCCTGCAGCTGAAGTAGTCAGACAGAAAGACAGGAAAAATCCAATCCAGTTGAAGAGGAATGCCACTGAGAAAGCAGGACAAAAGCAGCAGGTCAAGCCCTCTTTATATTCCCAGGGGAAAAAAAAAAAAGCCAACCATAAAACCTTTGCACACAGGTTTTTCCTGGTGCAAACCTAAGTGTGAAAATAACTCTAGCTATTTTGGGTCACTGCCTGAGAAAAAGCTAAGTTCCACCAAGTACTTACTGAAGAATGTTAGCATGAAAATGCCATCATTTCCTATCCTCAGCTGGTCGGTGTCATCAAAGTCATCCCGTGTCACAAAATCATCATCCTGCAAACCAGAAGGAGACAAGATGGGGGGTGGATTTAAGTCAGTCCAGTCCACACAGCAATCCCAATTCCGCATGTGGCTCTTCAAGAGCAGGCCAGCAAATTGTACAGCCCTCAAAAAAAGCAGTGTAGAACAGAGGGATACAAAAGGCTTTGTTTACATTTAATCTCAAAAGGCTACAAATGCAAGCAGGAGAAATTCCTGCTTCTCATCCTGAGTTGATGCAGGGCATGAAATATGAAATCACTGGCAGTATATTTTTTTTAATATAGACCAGATCCAGCAAGTTCTTGTTCTCACTGTAAAGGATTCCCCTACTCATAAAAAAATTAAACTTATCATCTCAGCAAGGAATTTGGGTTTATGAAGAAGTATAACAAGCAGTGGACATCTGATGCTAGCAGGGGTGGAGGAAGACGTTGAACAAGAAATAATACTGGAAAAAACCAAAAAGAAATAAAAAATGAAAAAAAAATTATTCTGACAGAATTGTTTTATCATCCTTGTATCAGCCACACTGACCTCTGGAAAAATCAACTAAGTAAGCAGCAGGAGTATCAAGGGTAGATATCCTAGATGGCTGAACAATTAATCCTAAATCTTTAAAAAAAAAAAAAAAAAAATCCAGTGACAGTGCACACGGATACAGTACAGTGCCTCTGTCAGCTTGCCAAAGTAATCTGGATAGCACATGCTGGCATTACTGAGATGTCTTACATCATCATAGCTGCCCAGAGGAAAATTTAAAAAAAAAAAAAAAAATTAGCCACAGAACTCTTGGGAGGGTGTGATATCACCACCCCAGAAACCTTAAAAAAAAAAAAAATAAAAAAAGAAGAAGAAACGATACTTGATCGCCAGGAGTTCAACCAGAAATTCTACACAAGAAATGTGAAGGACACACACAGAGCCAGCCAAGTGTACTCACTCTTCCAGGAACCAAGGGAATTGTGGCTTCAGCCTTGGTTCTCTCTGCCTCATCGTAACTAGGCAGTGTTGTGGCCACGTTGTAAGATGGAGGCTTAGGAAATCCTGACTCATCCTTGTAGTCAAAATAAGCTGCAAAAAAAAAGTTATAGAGAAGGTAACTTGTCAGTTCCTCAAGAACACCGTGTTGGGAATGAGAAGCGTTCCAGGTGACTTCCAAAGACCCCGATACCCCAGAATGCTGAAGCCTCCCCTCCTGTCCCCTCCCTTCTAGCCTCTTGCCATCCCGAAACAGAAAGTAAAAAAACACGGGAGCACCTTATCTACTATAAAGTAATACGCAGCACACTACTTTAACACGCCTGGCTGTGTTTATTTTTAAAACAATGATACATGCTGTGTCTCTCCTGACTTCAGTAAACAGAAGTAGTCATATTTTCAAATTCAAGTGGTTTGAGTGAGTCAAAGAAGGATCACTGCACGCCTTAGGCCACTGGTGACCAATTTTTCCAGAGTGAGACTCCAAATTGTTTTCTGATGGAGGGGAAAGGGACTGAAACAAAAATCAAACATAGCATTTCTGAGCCCCAGTCACTCAGACACACTAAGGAACCAGAACTAACGGGACACCTTTACAGTTGGTGTGCCAAGGCAGGATACTCGCTAGGTAGCTTGAGAAACTGTATTCAAGCTTCTACCCAAAGCTAGCTGGCTGGTTGAGAGACTGACAGCATGTTGCATTTGATTCACAATCTTATTTGGACAATTGACTATAAAAGTTCCAGAGGAAAAAAAATGAGATGATTTACCTAAGCCAAAATACTCCAATGCATAACCAATACAAACCAAGCTGTTTTGCTAAAGCTATTAGCAACATGACAGTACGATGAATCAGAAGTATAATCCTTATGACCAAGTCCTTAGTTATTGAAAGCTGCAGGAAGAGTGAATTCTTTAGTACCTTTTAAGTAACAAGTCCTTTTTGGAAGGAGCACAGCATCGTCCAAATGGCAAATAATAAGAGGGGAACCACAAATCCTCATAGCACTTTGATTTTAACTGTCTTCAATCTATTAAGAACATTGTGAAATGCAACTTGAACACCATTTGATGGGATGACATCAGATGAACGTAGCCAAAACGCATCTTCTAAACCACAAGTAACGGCAGTTTCTCTGGATCAATTCTGGTCCTCTGCAGCCTTAGTAGGGATGCTGCAATGCCATCCATCAATAAGGAGAACGCTTACGGAGGTAAGAAAGGAGAGCAAACCTAGCTATTTCCTTTTGGTTAAATTTACCTGTATTCTCCGCAGAAATGCTGCTGTAAGGCGGAGGGGCATCATTCACCACCGGGGCAGTCTCACCTGGCTCCTCTTCATTCTGCAGCTGAACAGACCCACACACAAGAGGGGTTAACGGGGTTGCTGGAGTTCTATGAAATTATCCCTGGAGTTTTAATTGCACCCGGCAGACTCTTCTGGAAGAAGACTGTTCTATGGCATCATGGGGCACTCAAGCAGCTGCTCAGCTTCACTCCGAAGCGCTCCCACTTGAAATGATCAATATGCCATCTCAGTTTTAATGTGGTTTTTTAATGGAATCCTCACACACCTGGACTTCGACAAAGCACAGCATGTATCTTTTCAGTACCTTTCCATTTCCCTAGCACTTCCTCAGCCCACACTGCTTAGGAGCTGCAGTTGCATCTGTTTTAGTCGAAGAAATACCACGAGATACCCAACAAAAGACTCCATTGCTGCCTGTGGCTCTGCTATGGAAGGGATTTTTCACGTCACCTTACATAATGATACATATAAGTATGAATCTTGCCATTTCCCTTCAACCTTTCACACTGCATGACTGAAAAGGAGACAGTTTATTTTGTGCACTGTGCTTCCCACAGACTGTATAAATAACCATACCGCTTATCAAATACAGAGTGTCACTTGCATGAAGCAGGTACGCAAATGCAGGCTTTGATCAGACAAGCTGACAATGCTAGCCCAGAAGCATTCAAAGCAAAACGCACCAGAAAGGAATTTACCAATCGGTTGCCATCTTATTTTTTTTCTTCTTTCCATTTCTCATCATCTCATGAACAAAGAAGCTGAGGTTTTACACAGAAAGACAACTCATTTCAAAAAAAAAAGCACCTTGGGACTGAACCACCTGCCTGAACACAGAGGTACTACCCTCTTTTGTAATTACCACGAAACAGCAGCAACCTTGCAACTTCTTCCTTAACAACTTGCACTATCCCTCCTGCACACCCATGCTAATACTCTTGAGGACATCCATGATAGTTTGCTTGCTTTTCTTTGGAGAGACATGTTGCCATTCAAATGCTTCTGAAGCATTTACTGCAGGGGGGTGGGGATAGGTTCTTGTTTAACTTGTACGTTTTATCAGGAAAGAAAAAACCAAACAAAAACAAAAAAACCAAATCAGCTCACACTTCTAAATGAAGGTCTTGTTTTCTATAAAACTGTTTCGTGCCTTGGGTTTTTCTTCCTTGTGCTGCCTAAGATTGTACCACATCCATGTCCTCCGTGAAAGTCAAAGCTAAAACTTTTTCAGCTGTTTTAAGCGCAATTCATCGGATGTTTGCATCCAAACCACAGCTGCATGTCTGAACTGTGAGACAGCCAAGTCCTACAAGCTTGCTGAGAAGAGCGTGGATTGTTTCATTTTCTCTGCCATTAACTGGACAGCCGCACACCTCCGTCAGCTGCACAACCACGAGCATGCACAGGATGAGTACCTGCAAGTCAGTTGTTCCCTGCGCTGCGGCCAGGCACAACGTCCCCGCTGGCTTTCCACCTCCTCGGCGTGAAGGCTGCCGGCATAGCTGGTGTGTCACAGCTCCCTGCGCCAGATATGTCACAAAGATTTTAAACACACCTGCTGTTAAAGGAGTTTAAAGGACTCGGGTTAGCAGGCGGTGACATGAGCAGCTCTGCGGGCAGGTCCAAAGGGTCGACCGAGAGGGGGAAAGGGAAAGAAATGACCCTGGGAAGCACTGGAAGAAATTCAGCAACACTGTCACCCAACAGCTGTACCCAAACAACAGACCATCACAGAAACAGGACTCTTGTTTCGCCATCAGATGAGGATCACCTTGCTGCTCTAACAGCCAGCCTCCATCCTCTCCTCGTTCACATTCATGAGACAAGAGAGGTGGAAAAAGAGGGAGCTGGTCAGCCTCAAACTTTCTGGGTAAGAACTCCCCACGTGGCACAAAGCTGAACCACTTCCTTGAAGAAGGAGAAATTAAGTGATCCGGATGAAAATTTAATCCGTATTACAGCCAGAGCACCTCCTGGCGCAGACGCACCAGCCAACCCCTCGCTGCACCCCACGAGCGAGGCCGCGGGGTACACAGGGTGGAGGTGGCAGATACCTGCCTCCGTGGCTGCTGCTTTAATTAGCCTCCAGGCGCCAAGCAATTAACACGATAAGCTGCAGCAGCTCCTACACCACCAATGCATCTTCATCTTTTTCAAACCAGCTAACTCAGCATGCGCCCTAACCAAGAAACAAAAATGCCTTATTTTACAAACCCCATAGTGTTCAGTCATTAGAAGAAAATGCAAACTAACTTATGAAGTAATTGCCTATTAAAATAAGCTTAAAAAAATTAAAAGCGAGCACTGCTGCAGAAATTCAATTCTCATGCTGCACACAGCATGAGAGGGGCAAGCTAAGGGATGATCCTGTAAACTAGCTGATTCAGTCTCTCTCAGCTCTGTAGTCTATGAATTCTCAGAAAATGCTCCACCATGCTTATTTTTAGTCTATGCATGAAAATTCAACACTTCTCTGCTTTTTTTCCCTCTACCTATGCAGGACCCTATAAGCCAAGGGGAAAAGGCTCCGACATGCTGGGGTCACTCCCTGGATACCGCATGCCCTGCATTACTGCTCTCCTAGCGGGGAGGGGGGCAGAAACGAAACCCCTGAGGTCCGTACGAAAGAAGATATATCCAACCTAAAAGTACAATCACCAAGGAGGGGGCAAGGAAAGCACTGGATGTGACAACGCTGCAAGAGATGAGATAATATTACACTCAACTCTCTGCATCCTCTTTTAATTCCTACCGCTGGAATTCTTACCATGTTCTTCTTTCACTAGTAAAAAGAAACTCATATTCTTACAACTGCCTCATGTGGGAGAAAGCAAGCTGAACTTACTGCTAGCTTCAAACCACTGCAATTCAGGTAGTACCACAAAAAGCTTAGTTACTTTTTAAAGTTGAGCTAGAGGCTGTTGGAGGTATACAGTTATAGAAAACAGATTTTTCTTCTAATGGACAAGGTACACAAATGCCTTCCAGCCTTTTTAATGATTCCAGGCATCTAAAATTCAACTAAGTGCTTATTAGCAAAGCAGAAAGGGTTCATGTGACAGGAAGAATGAGTCATCAGGCCTCGCACGGCCCCGCGGTTCTGCGCTGCGCTCGCCCTGCCTGTTCCAGCTGCCCTGCACAGCACCGGTACAGGATGAGGAAGGGGACGCAGGAGGAGGAAGGCTGCGCTACTCGGGCAGTTCCCCCTTGCGCCGCTGCTGAGGGTCTTCGGAACCCAGAGAACCTGATTAAAGCTGTGTTTGGCTTCAGTCTGTTTTGCTGAGGGTGTGGGGTATTCTGTCTTTGATTCACTGACGGATTTTAGCTTGTATTTTTGTGGCATTAAAAACTGTGTCTTTACAACAATGCACACAGGTATTCAAACAAAAGTTTGGCTGTGATTTTTTCACCAGATTACTAAAACAATGGAAAGTTGCCTGGCAGAACGGAGTGAGGCCCAGAGACATTTATTTTCAAAAAAACACCACCACAAGCTTGCCTCTGAGCAAGACATCACCTCTGCCACTTCCCCCTGCTTGAGACACATCACGTGAAACACAGCACAGTAGCACAGAGTTCAAAACTTACAAAATGTTTTGAAAGATTTCCAGGTCAACTTTGAAGAAAACATTTCCACTGAAGATACTTGTTAATTCCTCCAAATTTTCTAAACTTGGCATAGTTTCGGATCTTTTTTTTTTAACCTCCCCTTGCCCTGAGTCCTTAGGCTACATGCAAATATTTTTTTATCCTAACTCAGGATTACTCCAAGCTTCACCTTAGCAATGTACCATCAGTAATATATTAAGTCAGCCACATATCATGACTGTTTACTGCTTTTCAGTTCTTATTTTATGTTCTGGCATGCAAGGCAGAACTGCACAGAAATCCCACAGGAATCCTGCAATGAAGATAACTCTAATCAGATCTCATTTTTGTTGTTACTATGGTTTCTGTGAGTTTTCAAAAAGGTGGACATTTAGGCTAATGACAGAAAGAGAATCAATATTTTTTTAAAAGGCGATAGGATTTATTTTTTCAGAACAATGAAAAAATCATAACCTTTGCAAGCCAAATGTAAAAAAAAAAAAAAAAAAATTAAAAAAAAGCGTATCACTACTAAAATTGAGAGTACTCCAGCAAGGCAACAGCCTGCCCACAAAAAGGTTACACTTCACTCCCATTACAACACTCCTTACTTCCCTTCTTCCAGATCTCTGGCCTTTTGGAAGCAAATGAAGCTTCTGCCAACTCCAAAGCAGAGGAGAATCATTTTTATTGACTTACACTTCACTTTAAACGTACTCTGATTCGAAATCCTGACTTTTGCCCAATGCTGTTGCAGATTCCTATCACTTAATATCACCTTATTAATCAGCAGGAATAATGATAAGCTATTAGACAAGTCAACCCACGTGCATCAGCCCTCTCCTTGATGAGCAAATAACTGTTTTCTACCGTAGGCACTTCCAGCTCATTTAACCGAAGGAGAGTGACAGCCCTGAACGGCGTGTCTGACACCGGTACCTGCACTCTGGCTGGCACGGCTCCCAGGTGACACGCTTGGCAGTTGCGCTGTCTAAGCAACCCCTCCGCTGCCTTCTCCCCGCACCAGGAGATGCCGATGCTCCGTGCTGCTGCCCAAGCCTCACGCTGGGGAACTGATTCTCCCCAGGGCCCTGAGCACAGCCCAGCTCTGGGGAGCGACCTCCCGAGGTCTCTGCCAACCTGAGCTACTCCTTTGGTTTAATAAAGGACTGAAAACCGTGCCTCCACTCCTCCTCCCCAAAAATGCCTTTTTTTTTTTTTCCCCCTCCCTGCACGAAGCAAGCACACAGCTGCACCCACGCAGCGGGATGTACGGAGCAAGGGTCAGAAACCAGTGGGAGCATCCGCCTGAAGGGCAGGTTTGCAGTGACCCTCCCAGCTACCAAGGTATAAACACAAATCAAAACAGCTTTCTGTCCATCAAAACACAGCCCGTGCTCACGAGGATGTTGTTCTTCACTGACTCACTGCAGTTAGTGGCCTGACAACATGGAAATACACCTCGGTCCGGGGAAACACGCTGATCTCATTCCCTCAGCTCTGTTCAAACGGGGAATTATACTGGTCTGGCTAGACTGTAAGCAAGCATTTGGGCCAGCACAAACCTGTGCCTACAGATTGTCCTTAGGTTTGAGTGTTCAAGGTCTTAACACAGAAGAAGTAGGTTTTAATCTTAGATAGCTGTAATTAAATTTCAAACACTTAACAAAGCATAAGGCTTTACCATAACATTTAGGATCACATTAACCTTTTTTCCAGACACTAAGACATCACAGAAAGAATTCCAGATATTTTAAGCATTTTAAAATATCACATTTTTTTGTCATATGAACAATGTTGAGTATCTTCCCTGAAAAAAAAAAAAAATCCCATTGTGCCTCCATACATCAAATTTAGATATTTCACAGGAGGCAGAAACAGAACGGATGGATACATCTTAATATTGAATATTTCTTGTTAATTGCAATGACAAAGAATTAATTACACACACACAAACCTTTTGCAACTTGCTTTCAGTATGGCTCCTTTTAAAAGGCGATGCCAAGCCCACATAAAGAGGTGCTACGTCCCCTGCGAGCCACTTCACAACCCAAAGGCCTGAGGGACCATTCCTAGATCTGCTTCCCAGACGGGGTTACTGAGCCCCACTGATTGTAGTGAGGAGGGAAAAGAATCACAGAATCTCAAGCTTGGAAAAGACCTTTAAGATCATCAAGTCCAACCGTCAACCCAACACCACCAGGTCTACTACACCATGTCCCGAAGCCACCAAAGAAGCCCAACTAAGAGTCCAACACAATCCTGATACCAGAGAGAATTTTTTTTTAAAAGTTTGCATGCAAGGCTATTTTCATGAGCTACGTGATGATACTGGACTACTACTGTTGCACTGCCTTTCCCAAGTCCTTTGAGGTTTAGAGATGGAATGTGTTTTAATTTTATAATTACTTTTTCACACAGAATCACTAAAACCTTGCAAACTCACCTGACATGTAGCGTTGCCTACAGAACAAAGCAGACTTCAGCCGCCTGAACACAGACGGGGCTGGCCATCAGCTTCAGACACAGCGTGCGGCCCTCTCAGCTGCAGCACAACCTAAGAGTGGCTGTGCAAGAAGAGACCTCACTTCACAGTGCAACTTTGTTTTAAATCTTTACTGGGTTTATGTCAATGGACATCTCCCATTCTACTTGTCTGAATACAAAAAAGAAAAAAAAAATTAAAATGTGAAAACAACCTGCTCTGGAAATTTCCTTACCGTTCGTATCAGTTGCCTGTATCTTTAGCAAGCACGTCTTCTGCACACTACCAAGGAAACGAATAGCCACTGACATCACTAATTCTAACTGCTGACATTAAAAAATATGGTATATTCTCACATTTTACTTTCAGTCTACCTGCCTGTTTCAACTGAAAAATTAAATACAAGCTTAAGGTAAGCACGAAGTGGCAAATGACATCCCCTATTTC